CAACCATTCTGATTGCTGCACCAATAGGGTAGAGGAGGTGTGATTTTGTGAGGCAGCATCTCCCTCACTGGATAAACAAGGATTGTCGTCGTTGGAGGCACTCGCAATACAAAGATATCAAGATGAGGTTTAGCAACTGACCTCTGTGCTCGAACGTGACAACACTCGCTCCCACAGAGCAGGGTTTATCAGCGACTATCTGAAGAATTTGGGTGTGGAGAGGATGGAAGAACCTGCCTGCAGCCCTGACCTCAACACCGTTAAACACTTGTGGGATCAGCTTGTTCGCGCTGTTTGGGCCATAGCGTCCAACACAACCACACTGGCTGACTTGTGAAAATTGCTGGTTGAAGAATGAGATGCCATCCCAGACCAAGCTGGACCAAGTTTGTGAGCAGCATGAGGGGGAGGTGCCAGGCTGTCGTGGCTACTGAGGCCCCTGCTTGTTAAATGAATAAATTGTTAAATTTCCACATTACACATTACACATTGCTTGTCACTTAATCCCAGCTCAGGCTCCTCAGAAGCTGGTATGTCCTCTGAGCTCTCGCCTTCCCGCCCTAACTTCTCAACCTTGTCCACCTCGTCCGCTGACATCTGTAAGTCTGACTTCGCTTCTACAAGTATGAGTAAAGTCCTTCCTGCCTCACTTGGTCCTCTGCTTTCTGAATGGGACAAATGGTTAAAAATGGGAGTTAGTAAGTCTTGCTGCCCACTGCAAAGGACACTGAGTAAAAGGTTTGTTTTTAGGGGGTTAGAAAATACTGTACATTTCTGCAATCCCACTGATGTGAAGTTAAGAATCTGACATTGAAGAAACAATTAGATTTTTAGCAATATTATCATATTATCTGCAAAAAATATATGAATAAATGAATGATCACTTAAGTTCCCTTGTCCCTAGAAAACGTGGAAGCTGCACCATTTTGAAAAGAAAGCACATGTTATCTGTTTGTCAAACTATTGCAAATGTGGCGTCAGAAGAAATCCCAGGATTTCGTCTTCACTTCTGTTCTTCCCACAGAGGACAAGAGGGTCTTAGGGGGATTTTTTTTCTGTCTGGGTTTTGCCTTTTTAAAATCATCAGGTATTATAAATGACATGTTTGTCAATTTAAATACATCATAATATGCTTTATAATTTGGTTGTATGGAGTTAAAGGTCACATAGTTGTGCACAAGCCTTCCACAAACTCACAGCTGACATTACTCTTTTTCACAATCAGAACCAAACAAAGCATGAAATGCTCAATATGAAATAAGCATCTCATCCACTCAATGCTCTGTTTAGTTTTTTGCATTATGATATTATTAAAGTTCACAGGAAAAGTATCTCATGGCACAATGTTTGAGAGTCTAAGATATGTCCTTATCTGTCCTAAATTCTCATTTCTGCTTTATCTTTGTCTCACTCTCTTATACAGATATGGAGTCCGCCATTAAGACGTTGGTGACCACGTTTGTTAAATCTTCCAGGGGGAAGGAGAACCTAGACAGCAAATCCTTCCAGAAACTGGTGGAGAAAAACCTCAGTGGTGTCATGGAAGTAAGTGTTTTGTGGTTGTCCGTCATGCTGCCAGTATATTAGAGCATGAATTTAAAAGCAGTTGTAATCTCTAATCTTTTTAATATTTGTTTTTAAACTCAGGATGCAAGCAACTCCTCTGCTGTTAAGGAGATGCAGAGGGGACTGGATGAAAACAGCGATGGAAAGGTCAGCTTCGAGGAATACCTTACCCTGATAGGTTACTTGGCTAACTCCATGAGTCAGCGCAAGACTGAAAGCAATCCAGATTCATCGTAGATACTCTTGAAGTTGCAGTATTTGGAGAGGATCTGCATTCAGCCATGTTTTTTTCTTTTTGAGCTTATTAAATGTCTTTTTTTTTCATTTCCAAACATTCCAGCCACCATCAGATCATAATGATTTTCTCTGAGATAGTTAACCGGCTATACTAGATCTTAATGTCTGTCCAAATGAACCTTTATGTAGCAACACTGTCACTGAAGGATTCTGAGCTGGTCTTTTTTATACCAATTCTACATTTTATACCAATGTTTTCAAAATAAAAGCTTTATATTAAAATTAAATTGTTTTTTTTTTTGGTCTGTGGTTGCTGCTGTTGCACATTTGTCAGTCTTTTAAGATTTCACCTTTGAACCTCCCTTTCTCATATACATTTCCTTTCTTTCTACATGTGCGGAAGTACTTTATAAGTGCAGTAGTTTCTCTGTCATGATTTGACACTAATTGAATCATGCCCGCTCCTTTCCAGCAGCACTTGCTAAATATAGCTGCGACATCCCTGACTAGTCAAACTCAGCACCCTTTAGATGTATCACTTATTGCAACCTGATCCTGATATACAGTCTACACTTTCTATTGTGCACCACCCTTCACTCAGCAACTCTATACGTTCGGCGTATACGAATGTGCACACACACTCTGTGCTACCCCCCTTACTGGCACAGTATGATGCTCCAAAGACTCATTAATGAGAAGATGCTTTACCATCACTGCACTTTAAAACATGATCTCTTCATATGAAAAGCTTTAATGTTTAATTTTAAGCACAAGCCTGTCTATCATTCATTCAGAAACGCAATTACTTTCATGGTCTTTGGCTCTCGCTCTCACCATTATCCAGATGTCTCCAAGTCCGGTGGATGCCTCACACGAACTATTTAAAGTATGTTTCTGTTCCAGTTCTCTGTTCTTGCTTCTCGGTTTTCTTCACGTGGTTTGTGCAAGGGTGGTGTGCAGCTTTAAAGGTGTGTCTTGAACTATTTCAAGAATTTTTTCTGTTCCTGTTCAAATATGTCTTTATTTGTGCTTTTTTTTTTGTTGCATGTATGGTGTATTTTGAAGCCAAAGGTGTGAACAAGCTTGTGAAAGTGCTCGTGTGTGTGTGTCCTCGCATTGTCATGTTCTCCTTTGTGTGGGGATTTCTCTGCATGAGTGCCAGGTGCGATGGCTCCATTCATCGGTGCTACTCTGATCCTTCGGATAATATAACAAGCATGAGCCTCCGCCGCACCCCCCTCCTCCAGTGAACATCCTACCCCTACAATTAACCTAACAACGTTTTTGCTGCTTGAAACCGGGTGCTTTTGGATAAGCTATTGAGTTATTAATCTTTGCCTTGGTATAGCAGTATTTTAAGCACTTCCTGCAAGCCTTTCCTTTGTTTTGACATGAAGTACAAAGCGGTTGCACAACAGAGGAGCAGGGTAATCCACTATTTCAATAGCAACCTGTGACACGGTAAGCAATATGTCACTGTCACTGCACAACAGCCCATTGTGCTTGGAGCGCGCAGTTGGTCGAGTGAGTTTAGACAACGTATGAATATTTGGAAACAAATAGATCTTTTCTCCAGCACTTCTTCTCTTTTTAGTGAGTTTTCTTATTTCAGCACATTAGGGCAGGTTTGGCTTGTAGACTTATTGTGAATACCTCAATTTACCTTAAGTCTTTCTGTAGCTGCAACCGGCTCTTGTGTATGTCCAATTAGCGGATAGCAGGTGTCTCTGGCGTAAACAGAGAAGGTAGAGAGGAGAGGGGCAACAGGTGGAGGGGGTAGAGAAGGAGGAGGAAGGGGTAAGTGGGATGGGTGGAGTAAGGGATGTATTTAAGACGGTGTAGTCCTCATCCTCCTTAACAGTTGCTTTTACCTCCTCTCTTTGCACCTGAGCAGCAGGCCAGCACTAATCCTCCACTCAGGTAAGAAACAGAGGGACAGATTTCAACTGTCTCCACATTTCTCTGTTGTCTTTTTTCCCAATTATGATTGCATACTGGTGCTGATGCAGCTAGAGCATGTCTGTTAGTTCATCACTTGTCGAGTACCTTCGTGTAGAGCACTAAGGACAGGGAGAACTTTCAGTTGATTCACTGATAAGTTATAAAAAAAAATTTCACTGGTTAACTACACTGGTTAACTGGTTAAAGACATAGCATGCCAAAAATGCATTTTTAGTCATTTTTACATCCTGCTGATTTGTTTTGGGAAATAAAATCTACGTGAAAACTACTATAAGCTGTGATTGACAATTAGGAAAAGTCTTCACAGTTCACAGGTGATACAGGTTCAACAAAGGTAGGACCTACACCTGTTTGTGGTGTTATTTTTGCTATCCGGTAAAGCTAAAGTAAAAGCCAGATCAGGTTGCCACTGTGTGTCCCCGTTACATCTTCTCCAGTGGATGGGCTTTTTAACCAGCTTAGAGTTTCACTCTTATCAGCTGGCTCACATGTCCGGTTGCTGCTGACTATGTCCGGACTCCCGGAGGTTCAAAAACCTTGGCAGAGCAGGATCCTTTTATCTGTGGCAAAATCTTATCAGGGCCAGGACACGATGAAGAAACTGTTAAACTAGATAAGGTTTCTGCCCAAATACTGTGTGCAAAACTCATCTTACTTGAATGCATATTTGCAAACACATTTAAGTGCAAAACAGAACAACAGACAGGTTTTTATCACCTGATTTTTTTCTGCATTAGACTTCCATGCTTCCCCCAATGCTTGACAGAGCACATGTACTGACATGAACTGTTCTTACTGTATCTTCAACCCACCCTTCTGTTCCTCTACAGAATGTCTTTGCCTAACTCCGAGAATGCTTCCACCCTGGAGAATGCCATGCAGCTCATGATCCAGACCTTCCATAAGTACTCTGGAAATGACGGGGACAAATATACACTGAGCAAGGTTGAGCTCAAAGAAATGCTTACCAAAGAGCTTGGCAGCTATCTGGGGGTAAGAAAGCACATGTTCATACTTAGGAAGAGAAGATGCAAATGTAGATTATGTGTACAGAAAAGACATTGCTTTTTTTTGTATCTTGATACGTGCAGAATGCCCAGGATAAGGAAGCTGTGGAGAAGATTATGGGAGACCTGGATTCCAACAATGATGGAGAGGTAGATTTTACAGAGTTCATCATTTTGGTTGGAGCTCTCACTGTGGCCTGTAACGACTTCTTCCTGGAGTACAATGACAAGCAAGAGAAGAAGTGAACACACCCTTCGCCCAGAGTCTCCACTTAAAAATCCCACATGTTCCAGGGAGGAAGCACTTAAGGAGAGAGAGAAGGCCCGTTTGGGACATCCTGTCATGGACCTCAAGTTCACAAACACACAGACACACACACAAACAAACCTCTAATAGAGAAATAAATGTTGTGTTTTGTCTTCAATGTCTCTTGAATTCATTCAAACTGTAATATTACTGCAAAGTGAACATCTTTAGTGTTTCAAGAGCTGTCATTCTTGAATATGTGAATATCTCTCTTTCTGCTCTTTTCGTGCATCTTGTCACACATTTAAGTAAGGGATGCCCCCCTTCCCCGAAAAAAATAAATGTGACCTTTACTCAAACAAGTTGGCTATGCATTATTACAGAAGAGAACGAGAATGAACAAACAACGAGCACCAGGTGGCAGCAAGTGGTCCTCTGAATCCAGCGGTTTTGGTGCATTACTTCTAATTTGCATTGCCACATGGGTACAGCAGTTTGTGCCAGAGATACTATGTGGTATTTACGAAATACACATTCTAAGATGCTGTCTTTAAGTATTGCTAAGCGTAAGATATGAGAGACAGTTATTCCTGCTGTGGTGTGAATTATTCAAACTGGTTCTCTGCACTAAAAATGTCAGGTTTATATGTGTAGATAAGAACTACCTACAGTCCTGTTTTCACAGTAGAATAATCAGAACCCAGAGTGACCTTGACAGGGCTTTAAACACATTATTGTTTAAAAGCCCTGCTTCCTAAGAGAAAAAAAAGTACTGTGTGACTGAGTGTGTGTGCATTTTTGTTCATATAAAAAAGGAAGTTGCCAGCATCAGTGTTAGAAAGCCAGGAAATGTTTCCTTCTTTCATGTGAAAACATGTCACGCAGACATACTTTGATTAATCTGAACCTACAACCTTTATTGGACTGGTTAAGGTGTGCACAGGAGCAGATTTTAGAGTCAGGAAGGGGAAGGTGAAAGATGGGAGAGCATAATGAGAGAGGAAGTGAGAGAGAAAGGAAGGAGAGTGGAAAGGTCAAAAAGAGAAAGAGAAGAGAGTGGACAGCAGCACTTTCTCCGTGTGGAGACATGCAGCCTACAGTTTTCACAGGTCTCTGATAGGCTTTTCACACTTGTTCGGGATCTGCCCGGGAACCCCCGCGGGTAATCCCATCCGCCCTAGACACAGCAAGAGACGCCTTCCAGTCCAAAACTGAGTTGAGCTGCAGAGTTGGTCACACGACTGCATAAAGCCAGGAAACCTGTAGCAAATGACAGTGACTGGGGAGATGGCCTTTTTCCAGAGGTTTATCGTACCTTTCCATTGCACTAATAACAAGAGTCTTTTGTCTCTGCCTATCCTGCTTTTTTTTTCTCCTCGGCATTCACCCTTTCTGCTTGTGATTTTGCACAACTTATTGCCTTGCCAGGACTGCTTCATTGTTGCTCCTGTTGGCATTTTGCTCTTGTTTACTAAAAATTTAATTCCCCCCACCCGACTGCATGTGTGCCTGAAAAGACCTTTTGCATTGTCTTTGTTGTCAGGGATCCTGTGAAGATTGTGGAAATCTGCCACAAAAAGAATACGGCACTAATGACTGGAAGTTAGCTGTTGTTCTAAGTGGACTAAATGTCAGAAGTGAGCGCCCGTGGAAGACCAGATAAACAGAGCGGGACTGGAGAGAGGACAGCAGAGATTAATTGAAAGGGTGGAAGGATGGGAGGGATACATACATGTGTTATGCTCCTCTGGACACTGCATCTCACAGATGTACATGTGTACATATGTTCTGGACATTACATACACGAACAAAATCCACTGCAGAATTATATATTCAGGAGAGGAGAGGAGAGAGGAGAAAATGATGAGCGAATGAGGCTTTGTCCTGCTCTGATAACAGAAAATGAACAGTTGTGACATGACTTAATATCCATGATACACCTCCCATCAATCCACCATGTTCCACCGCCCATCAAATAGGAGCCCATATCCACACTCTTGGCTCAGCTTCCTCAATTTCTCAGGAGCTAGACTCGTCTCAGTGCAGCTGTGCACTCTGGCACAGCAGGCTGCGGCTGTTCTCTACTTACTGTGCACAACAGTCTGAGCAGAAAACCGTCCATGCATAATCTATTACTTCATCCCTTTGACTTTTATGTAATAATGCAACCTGGCTCTTTTCGAAGTACAACTACCTTCTATATATTTTTCCTTCACAATCTGTTGCTTTTACACATATTGTGTTAGTGTGCGCATCACAGGCTGTGTATTACATTTTATATCACATTCTGGTTATATCTATACAATCATACAACACACCATAGTCTCTCTATTAGCGTCATATCCTTGCATGATCTAATAAACATAGAGAAATCTTAATAATATATACTCAATGCTATACTGTGGTAAGCAGCTATGCTATGATAAAATATACTGAATCAGTTTACTGACAGAGTGGATTTTTTTTTGGGTGGGGGGGGGGGGGGTATAAGAACCTTGATATTGATATAAACTTCCCTTTCCTCTCTGATACTGACATCAATCAACATAGTGAATAAGTAACGTCTGTCGTAGCTGAAAACAGGTATGTCACGTGTCACTTAAGCAGTCAGTGTAATGCGGAAAGTGTTAACTAGCTGGTGTAAGGTTCAACAAGGAATAACTCGGAGAATCCTCACTCCCTGGCTGGCTGAAGAGGGAAGCAGGGAGAGACCTTTCCACCAGAAAGAGGTCACACCATTAAGCATCTGGACAAAAAAAACAACAACCAAAAACCTGCAGGTAAGAGTAAGATGGTGTTTTTCTTTATCTTCATAGGAGAAAAATCGTTTGTTGCAAAAACTGTTACTATAAAGGTAATGGATGTGATTGTTGTTTATTCCAGTTCCGGTTCCTGTACCATAGACACATTAAAACCCAGACCCACCCCCCGCCTCCGGCCCATGTCCTGCTGTGCTGATTGGTCGGGGAGCTGTCTGTCAGCGTGATTGTGGCTGGGGAAAAATGGTCAACCTGGCATGTTGATGGTCTTGGCTGTGTAGTTCTGGAAGAGCGGCTGCAGGAACATGCCCATCGTGCCGAACACGCATACAAACACAAAGATCCACAGGAAGAGGCGGTCGATCACCATGGCAACATACTTCCAGTCCTCGCTCACCTGTGGTTGTGGAACAGGGTGAAGAGAAAGATTAAGGTGAGCAGAATCCCACTCTCAAGTCCAGTCATGCTCATTATCATTCGACCTACCCGTCTGCCTTTAACTAGACGCAACGTTAATGGAGGTGAAGTGTTAATGTGAATGGAGACTCGTTCAGCTACACAGCTCTGATGAGGTCTGACACGAGTCAAGGAGGAGGAGAAGGATGTAAGAGACTGGAGAGAGATGGAGGACGGAGAGAAACAGAGGGTGTTCTGAAACTGTGACCCCTGTGATGATAACTTAAAGAGAGAGGGGAATGAATGATGAGCCATGCACTGCGCTGGGAATGGGAGGATTTTAAAGGCGATGGGATGGTAACTATATCAGTGATAGACAGAATTACTGCGGTTTATTAATTCCCATGTCAGACGCACGCTCCAATAAGATGCGGTCAGGATAAGACATAAAAAAATAACACCCTCACTCTGCTGACTCGCTTCTTCTATTCCAGCTCTTTACCAGTTGTACTCTTTCTCTATGCACACGTCATGCTGCCGCTGCTGCTATAATTACATGTCTGTGTCGAATATTCAGAGGGTTACGATTGCATCACCAGATCTGTCTCCTTTGCTTCTGGCCTTTTGTACTAACCCTTGAATTTTAAATGGCAGTACTAAACAGCAGAGTCGCACAGCTCGGTCTTGACTATAACATGATATGGCACTGATCTGTGCTGCTCTGGATACTTTTTATGGCTGGTAACATATGCGCATAAAAGAAGATTATTTATGGCAGGATTTCACACGCACGGAGACATGATAATTTTTTTATGTTAATACACAGTTGAATCTGAGTAATAAATATGGAGGTATGTATTATCAGCCGATACTATTGGTGCTCATCTCACATTATCACAGGCTATATTAGCATGCATGGTGTCATAGCTGTAAACTGCAGCACCACATCAAATACACTTTTTTAATGTCATTTGTTTTTGCCAAAATTGCTGTTTAAATTTACAGGATTACATTTTTTTAAGCTAGTGGAATAGCACTAAGTTAAAAGCTGCTGCTCAACAAATAAAGTAGACAAGCAGCACAAAAGCATTTATTTGGAGCTGTGTTTCTTTTCATAAGGAGACAGTGAGCAAATACTAGATAATTTAAGCCCCATCCCCCCAAAATAACCCAATGACCAATTTTACAATACAATATAATTTTACAATATAAGGTTAAAAAAATTTCTTTCACTGCTAAAAGGCTCTATCAGTCAAAGAAAGTGTCTGATTAAAGTGCTAAGGTCAGCACAAACAGTAAAATCGCAGTCTTTAAAAGCAGGGCAGCTACAGTGGGATAATAACTATCTCTGAGTCTGTGATTACACAAAAAAGACAGATTTACTGAGAGGAATAAATTAGTGTAGTGTTGCAATCACAGAAAACAGCAGAGATGTGAGTGGACCGCTATCAGGTAATCAAAACTAACTGTCTAAACTATCTAAAAATAACATTTTTCCAGTTTTATAAGCAAAGAAAAAGCTTTTTGACATCAATAATGCCCAGGACAGTCTATGAGGAGGAGGGCAAATTCACAGCTCAAAACAGAGTAGAAATGATTAGTCAGTGAATAATCTACAAACATTATACAGCAAGGCTCAAGTTGACTGCAGGATTTATGCAGAGAAGAGCTGCTTTATTACAAAATGGGTCAGTGTGCAAACCTGAAACCTGTGTATGACAGGTTTCAGGTTTGCACAGGTTTGTTAGCGATGAAGTGGACTCCTTCCACAGCTTCCTCAAAGAAAACACAACATTTTCTCTTGTCCTGACCGATGCACATTTTAAGTTATTGTTACTGCGTCATGTGTGTAAATGCACATTGCTCTTGCTTTTTCTATGTGACATATAAGCCTACAGGTGTTTATTAAAGTCAAAGGAAAGACTGACTCAGCGGCAGCTGTGGGCAATCAGGTTGTTAAAAAAATAGGCTCAGATATTA